GAGGCAAAGACATTTACCCAGGTGCACAAATGATATGAAGCTTTGTTAATACCTCGAGAGTCAACGGTGTGAGTTAGGAGTAACTATGAACCAGGAATGACAGAAAGTCAAGAGGAACTAAAGAGCCTCTTGATGAAGGTGAAAGAGGAGAGTGAAAAGGCTGTCTTAAAACTCAGCATTCCAAAAACTAAGATCATGACATCTGGTCCCATCACTTTATGGGAAATAGATGGGAAACAATGGAAACAGTGACAGATTTCATTTTCTTGGGCTCCAAAATCACTGCAGACAGTGACTGCAGCCATGAAATTAAAACATACTTGCTCCTTGGAAGAAAAGTTATGACAAACCCTGACAGCATATTAAAAAGCAGAGACATTACTTTGCCGACAAAGGTCCATCTAGTCAAAGCTGTGGTTTTTCCAGTAGTCACGTATGGATGTGTCAACCATAAAAAAGAATTGATGCGTTTGAACTGTGGTGTTGGAGAAGACTCTTGAGAGTTCCCTGGACTGCAAGATCAAATCAGTCAATCCTAAAGGAAATCAACCCTGAATATTCATTGGAAGGACTGATGCTGAAGCTGAAGCTCCAATACTTTGGCCACCTGCTGAGAAAAGCCGATTCACTGGAAAAGACTCCGATGCTGGGAAAGATTGAGGGCAGGAGGAAAAGGGGGCAACAGAGGATGAGATGATTGGGTGGCATCACCGATTCAATGGACATGAGTTTGAGCAGACTCCTGGAGATAGTGAAGGACAGCAAAGCGTGGCATGCTGCAGTCCATGGGGTTGCAAAGAGTCAGACACTACTGAACAACTGAACAACAACAACAAATGAACCAGGATGTGGCTTCCCAGGTGGCACTAGTGGTAAAGAACCCACATGCCAATGCAGGAGACATAAGAGACCAAGGTACAACCCCTGGGTCAGGAAGATCCCTGAAAACCCTCTCTAGTATTCTTGCTTGGAGAATCCCATGGAGAGAAGAGCCTAGGGGGCTATAGTCCATATGGTCGCAAAGAGACAGACACGACTGAAGTGACTTAGCACACCTGCATGCATGAACCAGGAATGTGTGCAGACAACATTAGACAGTGCCTGAGAGTGAGCATTTCCCAAGTGTTTCTTGTGACTGTCACATGCCAGACACAGTATCAGGCCCTGGAGATTCTGCGGTTAACAAAACATGAGGTTCCTGCCCCCATGGACCTTAGCGTCCTGTCAGGGAGAGTGACAAGAAACAAAGATGTGAGTTAATCTAGAACGCAGATCGCAGGAAGCAGGGCTAGGAAGGGAAACGGACTCCAAATTACAAAGCCGCCAGTCTGACCCTAAGGCCCAGAACCCTGGACCACAGAGAATGAAGGCATCAGTGGTTGGGGGCTGGGTTCTCCAGCTGGCTCGGAGGCAGTACGAGCCAGGGGCAACCCCAGGCCACAGTTTCCTCACCAGAAGAAGCAGAGTCAGGTTAGAGCGGCAGCTCTAAAACTGTGTCTCAGCTGAGGAACCTCTTATTCAAACACGATCTTAACCAGAAGCCAAGTCCAATAGGCAAACAAATATAAGTTCAGCTTGAGGACAGAACTGCCCCCTCTTTCCCTCCGGATCCTCAGTAGCTCCAAAGGAATCTCACAGATTTCCCAGGGCTCCAGGAGCCCACTCGCGAAACCGTGGGATTGTAACACGCTTACAATTAAACCGGCACTTACTAAGAGCTGCATGCACAAGGTCTCATTCAGTTCTCTCAACAAACCTATGAAGTCATCATTTCACCAGTGAGGAATCTGAGGCTTAGAGGGGTTAACAACGTTAGCCAAACTCCAGCCTCCTGGCTCCCACCCCTGACCACCGCCCCCACCCCCCCATTCACACCCATACATACACACCTTCTTTCTTTAGATCACAGGAACCCATTTCTCATCCCCAGCCTCGGCACACACTTTTCTATTCTTCTCCTATGGTGTTAGTTCCCTATTGCTGCTATAACAGACTTCCACACACTAGAGGCTTAAAGTAACACAAATTTATCAGCTTACAGTTCGGGGGTCAGAAGTCCAAGATGGGTAGGCAAAGCTTCCTTCCTTCTAGAGGCTCTAGGGTAGAATTCACTTCCTTTCCTTTTCCAGTTTCCAGAGGTTTCCATGGCTCACAGCCCCCTTCCAGCAACGCCATCACTCTGACCTCTCCTTTTATTGTCATATCTTCTCTGACCCTCTGCCTCCTCCTTATAAGGACACCTGTGATTACATTGGGCCCACACTGATAATCCAGGAGAATCTCCCATTTTAAGATCCTTAACTGGAGGGAATTCCCTGGTGGTCCAGTGGTTAGGACTTGGGGCTTTCACTGCCACGACCCAGGTTCGATCCCTGGTCAGGGAACTAAGATCCTGCAAGCTGCACAGTATGGCCAAAAAAGAAAAAAAAAACAACAAAAAACCCTTAAATGAATCACATCTCTCTTGCTCTGTAAGGGAACATATTCACAGATTCTAGGGATTAGAACATGGACATCTTTGGGGGCCATTATTCAGCCAGCCACATCTTGTAACTCCACTCATCCCTCAGATCTGAGCTTGAAGGCCATGTCCTCAAGGAAGCCGCCCTGACCCTTCTGATAAAACCATCCTCGGTGTGGTTCTCAGAGCTGGCTAGATCTCTCCCCCTCACTTTGCTTGTCACAGTCATAATTTAGCATTTGTTTGGATAGTATTTGAGTCTAACTAAACATTAAGAGTGCTGTGTTGTTCTGAGTCGCTCAGTCATGTCCGACTCTTTGTGACCCCACGGGCTGCAGCCTGCCAGGCTCCTCTGTCCACGGGGATTCTCCAGGCAAGAATACTGGAGGGGGTTACCATGCCCTCCTCCAGGGGATCTTCCCAACCCAGAGACAGAACCCAGGTCTCCCGCATAGCAGGCGGATTCTTTACCATCTGAACCACCAGGGAAGCCCAAGAATACTGGAGTGAGTGGCCTATCCCTTCTCCAGCAGCTCTTCCCGACCCTGGAATTGAACTGGGGTCTCCTGCATTGCAGGTGGATTCTTTACCAGCTGAGCTACCAGGGAAGTCCAAACATCAAGAGTGTGGAGAGTCTTTTTGTGTTTCTGTTTGTATTTTCAGCAGAATTTGGTACACAGTTGGGGCTCAATTAACATCTTAAATAAATTAATGAACAAATAGATGAACTTGCCTGAGGTCACAGCAGCAAGTAGCAGAGGCAGGATCTGAACTTGGGCAGCGGGTTCCCAGAGTCCTATATCCTTAGCCTTGCACAAGCTTGCCTCTCACAGACCTACAGTAGCCCAGGCTCAGGGGGTGTGGTTATGTCTTCTCAGCAACATCCCCCAGGTACTGGTTGCCTGGCCAACCCAAACTCAACCCCTCCACCCTCTCCCAGCCCCCACACCCCTCCAGTCTGACCTTCTGTGATTTAGGACTTGAATCATAGGAGGTAGGACAAGAAGTTCTGTGAATGCTGGCCGTGTGGGATTGGGGACCGTGGGTAGCCAAGGCCCCAGGGGCCACAGTGGTGGGAGGTGGCGCCAGGCCACCAGGAGGAGAGCCCTCCAGAGGAGGCAGTGGGCACCCGTTGGGGTAAGAGCCGAGGGCAGCGCCCTGGACACGCCCACAACGAGAAGCCGGGAGGAGACCACACCGGCCAGCAAGGAAACGAGCTGTCAGAAATCCAGAGGAGACGTGGGAAAGTGCGGTGTCATGGAAACCACGGAGCAAGCGTGTCCACTGGTTCTGGAAGAGGCGGCTGTCGAAGCATCAGGCGGCACCGCGGGGCGGGAGTGGGAGGCCCGGGGCCACCTGTCCTCCAGCTCTGACGCCCTTCAGCAGGGTGACTTCAGCAAACTGCATGGGAGCCGAAGCATCAGGCAGAGGCTGAGTGGGCGCTTCAAGGATTCAGGAGGAAACCAGCCGAGACCACACATTTCCGGATCTGGCAGGGAGAGAGGGGGGCGGTTGCTAGGAGCGGCGCTGCGGACCTGGGGAGCCCGCACGTGGGGTTGCAGGCACCTGGGCAGAGCCTGGGAGGAAGCGTGAGGAAGCCGGGGGAAGGGCACACCGCTGGGCTGGGACCGTCCGGGGATGAGTCAGCGCCCACGTGGCTTGTGGCTCTGGGCCGGCCTCACCCTTGTGTCTCCAATAGGGCCTAGGAGCTAAGCTTTCTCCCGCCAAGTTCACCCTGGGGTTGCTTTGGAGGGGACCCTGGAGACCCAGGGCTGGGGCCACTGAATGCAGGACCTCTGCACAGCCTCCTACGCACAGGCCAAGGCCTCCCTGAGCCTCAGAGGGCTTCCTGCCCTGGGTGGGGAGTCCAGTGTGAAACCACCTGGGAGGGACTGAACGGAGGAACTTAGTCCCCCTCCGACCCCACTTCTCCAAAAGGTTCTAGAAAACTGCGTTCCCAACCCCAAGGGACCTGACAACTACCTTTTGAAGATGTGAGTCCAATTTTGTACTCTGGACCCCTTGAGCAAGCTGATGAAGCCTATGGATCTTTTCTCAGAGTAAGTGTGTAAAATATTAATGAAACCAATTATATTGAATATTATATATATATATTTAAAACTGAACCTATAATATCATAACATACATGCTTCTTTATCAAATGCACCAAAGTACAACATCTGGCAATTGGTCATGATTTTAGAGCTATTGTTAAGTTGCTAAGTCTTGTCTGACTCTTTGTGACCCCGTGGACTACAGCACGCCAGGCATCCCTGCCCTGCACTGTCTCCTGGAGTTTGTTCAAATGTATGTCCAATTAGTTGGTGATGCTATCTAACCACCTCATCCTCTGCCACCCTCTGATTTGAGCAGTGATGAGCATAAATGACGTTCGGAGCTATCTATGAAAGTCTAATGTGATATGAAATTGTCTGTAATTTCTTCTAGTGACAGAGTCACAGATCCCATTGCTACCGTGGTCTCTGCCTATGGTCCTAATGGAAGGAAATGTTCAGCGTTTGGTAGGGGTTAGTGAAAATCAAGGTGGCATTTTTACCCATCTAAGTCCTTGGATCCCCTGAATTATATCCATGACCTTCAAAAAGTTAAGAGCTTCAGTTCTGTAGCAAGAGTCAGAATCCCCAGTGCTTACAGAGTGCAGACAGGCGGCTGCTGTGCATGGCTGTAGGCCTGGTGCCCTGGAGACCACACACCTCTTTAGGGGCAGCAGCACTGCTGGGATCCTGGAACAGTAAGGTCAATATCACCTAATCTTCACCTTTTAAAGAGATGCCAGAAACACTAATTATTTTGTGAACCCTTCTCATTTTAAATGTTAGCCCCAAATTGACATTTTTAAGGATACTCTGGGGCCAAACATAACACAAGTGCTGGCCTGATGCAGCCTGGAAACCCTGGATTTGGGATTCCCGCTGGATGGGGTTCTTGGTGGAATGTGGACGTCACCCTCTGGGTCTCCAGTCTTCCCATGAGAGGCCTGTTGGAGCACACGTAACTCACAGCTCCAGGCTAAAAATGTACTAGGCAATAACCACAATCCACAGTAAATTACCACATCAAACCTACTAATTGTCAAGTATGCCACCTCACAGGCTCTGCTTCCCTCCTTTGGGCCTGCCCTGGGGACTGATGGGATCAGGGCTCTGTCCCTTCCTGCCCACCTCCCCACCCCACCCCCCCAACATCCCCACCATGCCTTATTCCATGAAGGGAGCTGGATCTAGAGCCAGATTCCCTAAGTTTCAGCCTTAGCTCCGCCACTTATTGGTCCAGTGACTTTGAGAAGTCATGCATCTTTCTCACCCCCTACAGGGCTGTGACTACACAAATGGTTTGGTGGGACAACGGCACTTGTAAGTTGCAGGACGCATCTACATGCAAGGGAGTTCTGGTTCTCCCCACCTGGCTTCTTATTATCCTCTACTCTGGTCAGCTGAGTCCCTGTGGGGTGAGGGTCTAAGACACAAAGGAAACCATGTGTGTCCCCAAATGCCACACTCTAGGCAGTACCTGTGAAATACAGGAGTGTGTGCAAGGCTACTGTGACTAACTTGAAGGATGATCCATTTGGAAGGGCCCAGGGACCGACGCTGACCCCGGTATTTTTCTCTGGCAGCAGTGAAATCTGGTGTTTTGCAGATCGAAGAGGAGAACGAAGAAACTCTGCAGGCCTCGGGGAGGGCTTCTTTCATTTTGCACACACTTCAGCGGACCGCCCCCGGGGGTTTCACTCTCGTTTTCACATGGTGCAAACCGTGCTCTCAGCTGCCGGGCAGCATGTTCTCAGGGGTGGGCTGTGATGGGAGCTGGAAGATGAGACTGGATAAGATTCCTGCCACCACACTGTCACATCAGAGCTTTCTTTTAAAAAAAAAAAAAAAACAACTCCCTGTGGCTCCGTGGGAGTTTTGCCTGCGGTTTTCCGAGTAATTGCCTCGCCCCCGCCCTCTGCAAGCCGGGCTGTGGCAGGCGCTGCGCTGTGACTGGGGGCGGTGACCAACGTCTGCCAGCAGCCAGGAGGGCGGGCTGCTGGGGACGCGGGTGGGGGAGCCCCAACCTCCCTCCTCGGGCGTGATGAGAATGAATTAGGGCCCCGGGGAAGTGGGAGCCCCCGGGGAACAGTTCATGCTGGGTGCCCAGAGGAAAACCATGGTCTGTGTGGGCGAAACTTCCAAGAGCCACATACACAGGCAGATCCAGGGCTGGGGGCTGTGTTTGGAAGGGGAGCTGGAGTCTCAGCCGTGCCCTTAGAGCTGTGAGAAGCTGAGCAGATGCTCCGATCTCTCCCTACCTCTGAGGATCTGCCGCGTGTCTTATGGTGAAGACTAATAAATTAATACAGGGAAAACGTTTAGAATACCTTAAAGGGAGAAATGTTTCTTCTGCACAGAATATGTTTCTTCTGTCACAGAATACTACTGACACCAAACATGTAGGCATTTTCCAGCTGTCTGGCAATTCTCTAATGTCCAGACAGACTGGGTGTCCTACAGTTCTGTTCTGACACTAACTGCGTCGGTACAGACCCCACAGGTTGTGACCTCAGTCACGCAAGACCACCCCCCCACTTGAGATGCCAGTCCCAAGTCCCAAGCTGTCACCTGTACTTCTGACTAACTGCCTACAGTTGGTGGGGGCTCCTCCAACCCTTCCTCGGGTTTGATAATGTGCTATCCTGGCTCATAGAACTCAGGGAAACTCTTATTGACATTTCCCGGGTTTTTTTAATGTGACAAAGGATACAGATGAACAGATGAAGAGTTTTGAGGATAGCACAGGGCATGGGAAGGGGGAAAGGGTGTGTTCACCAACCCGGAAGCGCTCAGGGAGTTTTATGGAGCCTTCATCACGTGCTGGGTGCTGTGCTAAGTCACTCAGTGCTGTCCGACTCTTTGCAACCCCATGGACTGTAGCCCTCCAGGCTCCTCTGTCCAAAGGATTCTCAAGGCAAGAATACTGGAGTGGGTTACCAGGCCCTCCTCTAGAGGATCTTCCCACCCCAGGGATTGAATCCGAATCTCTTATGTCTCCTGCATTGGCAGGCGGGTTCTTTTACCACTAGCACCACCTGGGAAGCTAGACAGGATCAATTAATCTCCAGTCCCTTCATTACATTAATCTCTAGCCTCTGCCCTATACCCAGAGGATGGGCAGTGGACTGAAGGTTCCAAGCTTTTATTCACGGTTGATCTCTCTGGTAACCAGCCCCCATCCAGGAGCACACCATGGGGGACTGAACTAGCGCCCTCAGCAGTGAAAGCGTGGCGTCCTAACCACTGGACCTCCAGGGGATTCCCCAAAAGACTCTCATCACCCTGGCAACTCCAGGGGACTTAGGAGCTCTGTGTGAGAGACTCCTATCACCCCTCTCACTCGGGAAACCAAGAGGGTTTAGAAGGGACAAAGACCAAATAGATCTGTTATGCCACAGCAGGACATCAAGGGTGCATTCAAGTGGCTGCTTTTATTATTCCATCAAGAGCACTCCCTGAAGTCTCTAATGAGGCCTTTGGAGACAGACCTGCAAAATCTGGGAGATGCTTATGTTCTTAGTATCCTGTTTGGAACCTAGTGAACATCTACCTCTCCATAAAGACCCAGCTCAAATGACACTTCCCCCGTGAGGCTCTTTTTTCACATTGCTCATTATTAAATGATGGCTTTATGCCAGAATCTTTGTAGAGCACTCCACATTTTATCTCATACAGGGGCAGATTCAGCTCTTGTGGGGTCTCACACTTACACGGTTTAGGAGGCCCTCATATATATATGACTATCTGATTCTGTAATACTTATAAAACAAAAATGTCCTTGTGAGTTTGAAGACAAAGTCAATGAGACAGAGGATGTAAGGGAAAGCCTAGAGTAGAAATGACTCCAAGGTCTCTGGTCTAGCTACCTAGAAAGATGGGACAGCCAAGGGGAGGAGAAGCTTTGGGGGCTGGGTTAGGATGGGGGGGTTGGGCCTGTTAAGCTTGAGATGTTTCTTGAAGTCAAGTAGGAGTTAGATGCAGGAGACTGGAGTCAGGGGACAGGCCCAGGCTGAAGATGAAAAATAGAGAGTTGTTCACAGTGGTTGGGTGTCAAGGGCGTAAGACTAAATGGGCCCACTAAGGGACTGCAGACAGAGAGGATGGCTAAGGTCTGACCTCAGGGGGCTTGCCTGTGTTTGGGTTGGGGGGGGATGGAGCTGAGTAGGAACAACTAGCGAGGCTAAGAGCACCCAGGAGAAGGTGGCGTCTCCAGAAGGAGGGAGTGATCCTTGGGTCTGAAGCTGCCGGTGGGTTAGGTAGGTGAGAGCAGTGATGATTGGGTTACTGACATGAAGACCTTTGCCAATAGAAGCTTCCATGGAGTGCTGGGGTTGGAAAACTGATGGGCTGATCTAAGAGGGCAGCAGAAGAGAGGAGAGGAACTGTGGACAGCAAGCATGGACTACTGTCCTAAGGAGTTTGGGGGCGAGGGGGGTGGGGACAAGAAAGAGACAAAGGCTGGTGAGGGAATTGGAGTCAAGACAAGAGTTCTGATGACGGGAAAGTGTTTCCTTGTTGGTAGGGACAATTCAATAGAAGGGGGGAAATCAGTGGTACCGGAGAGAAACGATAGAATCGGGGGAGCAGTGGGCTTGAGTCCATGAGAGGGGTTGGGATCTGGGACACACGGGAGTGTTAGTCTCAGATAGGAGCACCCGTAATGTTGGGAGAGGAGGAATGAGGTCCTAGACCCTTATACAAAATGAGAGAAGATAGGGGAGTCGAGGATGCAGGAAGAAGCAGATGAGGGCTGGTAAGAGGCAGCGCTGGGAAGCAAGAAAGAGACAGTGGAAAGGTGCTGGGTTCTTCCAGGAGGGAAAAAGAGTCGTTGGAGATGGTAGCAGACTGCTATTTGGCCCCCCAAATCGACCCTTTCCTTCCATAACTGCAGAGTCTGGCTGGGTCCGTCCTTGCCCGGGGAACACCCTGTGTCTCAGCCGCCCTGGCAGCCGGAGGCAGCTACGTGACTGAGTTCTGCCAGTGGCAGGTGACAGAAGTGAAGTGTGCAAGTTCCACACCACTGACCCGGAAGGAATTTGTTTGCCTGCACCTGTACCCTCTCCCCCTGCCAGAATGTCGATTCAGCTTCAACCAGCACAGGAGGCAACACGTGAGCCACGGCTTCTCGGCTCTGCCTGTCTGGGGCCCCCTCTGGCTGTCTAGTGAAGCCTGTGGACTCTTCGCTGAATAGTGTTCTTAAATTCATGCAGTAAAATCAGAAGATTGCCAAGAAAAACAACTGCAATGAAAAATGGCAAAAACAGTATAAAGAGTTACACTCTAAGAGTAGGTACACACTTCTTATTAACACATTAACGAACAACCTAACAATGGATCTGATAGCTACCAAGCTTTCAAAGTAATAGTCCTGAGCATAAACAGCATTTCACAACAGAAATCACAGATATTTTCCTGTCACATTTAGTTGTTCCTGCCAATACTCCTGTGAGGCTTCCTGTCAGAATGGGAAGAAATGCTACCTTTCAAGTATTCAGTGGATCTCGGTACAAATCAGGATGTAATTTTTGCCCACGCAGGCTCAGAGAGCCCCTGAGTTCTGACCAGCTGTTTGCAGATCCCAGGTTTAGGACATCAGTCTTTGGAGACGGTGGAACCCCAAGATGGAAGAAAACTGCATTCCCGAATAAACCACATGAGGCAAAGCCAGCCTGTCGGCAGGGAGCCCCCAGACTGTCCCAGGAGGAAGTATTACAATCCTGCCTCCTGTATTCTGTTGTCTTCGGGGGTGGGGGGTGGGGGTCTTTTTGTTACAGCAACTTATCCTGTACCCTAACAGAGAGGCAGACAGTGACTAAACAGTTTTTAATACGCACTTACATGAGTCAGCTCATTGCCTTGCCCCAGAGCAACCTGAAACCCAGCTGAGGGCCTGAGACGCCACAGCCTGGGAACTCAGAAGGGAGCCCTTTTCATTTTGCTGCGCACCTCCCCGCGGCCCAGACGTGGGCCTCCGCACGTCCCACTGCCCCGTCTGGGCCTCCGCAGAGTCCACCTGTTTCCTGCTCTCGGCCTGGACAGGCTGCGCCCCGGCTCACCCGCCCCGGTGGCTGGGGAACAAAGGAGCAGCTGCTCTTCCCCTCCCCGCCCCCCCTCCCCAGCCCTCCCTCCCGGCGCGGACACACCCCGACGGACCTTGGGGCAGATCCCTGACTACGGTTCACAGGAATGTCAGCAGAGAAGCCAGGTTGGTTGGGGCCATGATCGCTGGCAGGATCTCAGGACTCCGAGAGGGTCTGAGCTGAGCGGGAGCTGCAGCCGGCAGCCGCACGAATGCCCTTAAAAAGAGAAAGGAGAGGTAAGCCAAGAAGAGAAACTAGTGCCCGTGCCAGGAGCGTGCAACTCTCAAGAGGTAGGCAGAGGCACTGTAGCCAACAGTCAGAACTGTGAGGGCTGCCATGGATGAAGCACCTACTGACCGCCAGGACTGTTCGGGGCTTCCCATGCACCTTTAACCCTTTAGCCGCCTTTAACCCTCATAACCGGCCCCTTGAGCTGTGTGTTACCATTTTTTACAACTCTGCAGACTGAGGATCAGAGAGGTCGAGTCACCTGCCTGGGGTCGCACAGCCCTCCAACTCATAAGGATTCAAACCTCCTCTTTATAACAAGGACTGGAACTAAGCGTACATAAGGGGTCT